ACATATTCTGTTACACCAAATACACAAAATAATGATCTTTAAAAAAGCATCATATGACCCCTTTAAATTCGTGATTTCAAATTATGCTGCGCTTTATGCATTTGCACTGTCAATTTCACTGTGTGCTGTATGTAAAATGACTGTTGCCTTGGCTTTATTTGAAAAAATATGATTCCCAATGCACACAAACTTCCCAGATTACTTAGTGCCATGTTGACTTTTTATGAAATATTTATTTATTTGTGAAAAATACATTGTCATCTAAAGTATAGGTATGTTTATTTTGCACATTTATTTTTAAATCCATTTTCAAATGATTTAAAATTTCTTAAATATTATTTAAAATAAATAAAATTATATAGGCTTTATATCGGCCATCGGCCAATTTTATCCTGATTAAAGCTTTAATACAGTACAGCAACTGCACACGCGTCCATGTTTAACGCTCGTCATAGCTATGTGAAAATAAGTGTATAATTGTAACAGTTCATTGCTGGAGCTGAGCTGAATGACAGAGAGATAGAGAAAGAGAGAGAGAGATGCGGAGGGGGAGGGGGTGCAGTATTAAGAACCGCTGCTTTAGAACATTGATTTTGAAACTTGTGAATCCATTAGAGTCGTTAGAAAACAGAATAATGATTCATATATGAATAGATTTTTACGTGCACCTCTAGTTTTCTCTTCCTCTTCTCTAAAGCAGCGCAGCATGGCCTCGCCCCCTTTGCTGCCTTTTCCCGAGGGCGGGGTTTATCTGGGTTTGTTACGTCACGAACCCAGGAAGTAACTTGTTGTAGTCCCTACCAGCCGTTTTTGTAGGCATTAAACTGCCAGAATTTTAAAAGACGATATCTCCGTTTGCATTGAACTTTCAGCTTCGTAACTTTGCAGATATTGTTTATGCTCAAACAGCAACACTACACACTAACTAACGTTAAAAAAGTGAAATTGCAATGAACCACCCCTTTCAAAGATTTTTTTAAACTAGTGCTACAAACATTTGTCATTGATGCAATCACTTCTTTTTCTCAAGCACAGAGAGAATGTTACCTCATACATACAGCATAAACTGTAGCTTGTTTTTAATTGAAAATATTTAGTGTTACAATTACCCTGATCTCCTCCAATACTCATACGGTTGAAACGATTAAAAAGGGAAAACAAGCATTTGCACTTTCATGATCTCCTATTGGTAGTATAGATATTAGTGACGTCTGCTTTCTCCTGGAATGTGAAATAAATGCACAGCAGCTTTGAGTTTGTGTATGATGGCCAAACGCAACAGACATTAAGAACTGATGAATGCAGAGTTTTTACGATTATGACCATCAGCTGAATTTAGATTATTTTTTGCCAGAAGCACGTGCATGGTAACCATTACCATTATCACACAGGGACATTTACGAGTGCTGGAAACGACTGAAACATTACTGAAAGAGACCGTCAAGGCTGTGGTTTACCATTTAATGATAGATGTGCTCATTATTGCACATTTGTGTAAAGGATGAGGTCTAATATGCCCACACAGTGACCAGCCGTCTGTTATGCTTTAGCTTTCAATTACATAAAACCACCATTTTTGTAAAAACAAGTCATATTTTTAGTTATGTTATCTGATTCAGCTTTAATTGAAATGGTCTTTTTACTGTTAAATTGTACTTGTTTGTAAAGTGTTTTGATTATTGCATTAATCTTCCTTATGCCTTGTCATAACTGTGGCGCATTCAGACTGCTGTTTCCATATAGTTTTGGAAGCTTTTCCTTCTTTGATTCATGCCAGTGAGTTTGTTCAAACATTCAGAGCTGGTATATTTAATGACAACAAGTTAATATGCAGTCAAAGTTTACAAATGTAGGACATTTAATTGGAGTCATTTCGAGTTTAATGGACTCGAACCAGCATCCCTGGGAGCAGTATGGCCCAGATATGTCTAGATCATATGAGCGAAACCACTGCACCAGAGATCCGAAAAGCTGCACATAAATCTTTTAATGGATGTGAAATGGCTTAGTGGTTGAAGTTGTGGACCGGTAAGCCAAAGGTTGTGGGTTCAAACCCCAGAAGGTGCAATTAAGGAGCTCAATTCTGGATGACTGTAGTAAAATATGTACCGCGAGTCACTTTGGATAAGAAAGTGTCTGTTAAATGAATAATGTTCTTGTCATGTGAAGTATTGACTCATGAGGGCTTCGTTTGACTTTGTACATATATCATGTGTAAGCCGTGCAGTTTATGTCTTTTACTCATTTTCATGTATCATCTTTCTTCTCAGTCTATCCAGACCGCTGCAGTATCAGCCTGGCGGCAGTGGGGGACACTCAGAAACACAGTGACCGCATTGCATTCTGGGACGATGTGTATGGCTTCAAGATGAGCTGTATGAAGAAGGCTGTGATACCAGAGGCAGTAGTGGAGATGTTGAAGCCTGAGACGGTCATTTCAGAGGCTGCAGTGGTTAAGGTGAGAGGAGAGACCGTAGTACGGTTTTTCTAGAAAGGTCTGAAGGGAATTATCAGCGAACTGATTAGTTAATTCTGAATGTCCCCTTGGGGAGCGATGGAGTGTGCCATCTATCAAGATTCAAGTCTTTTGTGCTTGTGATGTTCCTCAAATCGAATTGGATAAAACCATGGTAAATGTATATTTATTTAAAATAATTTCACAGCACAGTAGTCTAGATGAGTAGGGCTCCATACACTGCTGTTCAAAAGTTTGGGATCTGTTTAAAAAAAAAAAAAAAATTATACTTTCATTCACAAGGAAGCATTAAATTGTGACATTAAATACATCTACTGCTTTTACAGTATTTTTGATCAAATAAATGCAGCCTTGGTGAGCAAAATAGAAGTTTCTTTGAAAAATGTAAAAAATAAATAAACTTACTGAGCCCAAACTATTGAATGGTAGAGTATCTCAATTCTAGATATTAAAATGATAGTTTACCCAAAAATGAAAATTGTCATAATTTACTGATTCTTATGTTATTTGAAACCTTTCTGAATTTCTATTGAACACCAACAAGGAGTTTCATAAAACAAAAGTGGATGATGATTTATACCGTGATCTCATGTTTGGGTGAACTATACCTACACATTTGACTAATCTTGTTACTAATCCCCTCTTTTTAACTATATAATGGTTTCTGTCTGATTTGATTTGGTGCAAATCATTAGATCACCTGAATCCCTAATTAATTGAGTCTGGGCTGGACAGAAAGCCAATTTCCTGTGTTTTCCAATGGCCTTGTTTTGAGATGGAGGGAGGAGAGGAAGGAATGTAGGTAGGATCGAGGCAGAAGATGAAGAGAGTGACAGATCGTGAGTGAGCGAGAGACGTGAGAGCCTCAGAGACCGTTGGTGACAGAATGGCTGATTGATTATTCTAATCCTTGTTTAACGTCCTCTTTAGTAAACTTCATTACTTACCACCGCCATGGCCTTGGGTCCACTTACAAACACACACACATATACTTAATGCTGTGTTTGTTTAATGCTGCTTAATGGAGTTTTTCCTTATACCAGCTTTAGTGTCATGCATATCACTATCTTACAAAAGTTTTGTTTCAAAAAATATTAAGAGGAAGATGTAACGAATCAATCTGATATTTTATGTTTCCAAGAAAGCTACTGTATGCTAGCATAAGGTTATGTGATTAAACAGTAGATACTGTACATGTTTTTTTTTGACTAGACAGACCACAATTGTAAATTTTTTGCTGATTTCTTTAATTTGCAGAATACCTTTTCTTATCAGAAAAACTGACAAATTTTTACCCATATGTTCAACCTTGGGAACTGAATTTCATTATATTCCCTGACCTTGATCATAAAATGGTTCAGACATAAGCAGTAATGAAAATTCAATGCACAAATAAATCTTTTCCTGTCTGTGCAGAAACATTGCACATCTTACTTCCATTATCTCACTGACCCACCCCAATAACGCCATTTAACGGTGGTCAGAGTTCCATTAAATGAACACACTCTAGCGTAGCGTTCTCTTACAATGTTTACTGACTCATCTTCCTCTTAAACTTGCCACATTCACTGCTTTATTATATTTTAAGTTTTTTAAATAATTTTATCATGCAGATATACATGTAATCATTTTAAATTCAATTATTTAATATTAATTAAAAAATGAATGTCTAAAATTTACATCAAGGTTTAACTGTCTAAGAAACCCTGAAAAATCAGTCTTTACCTTGTTTGTTGTGTTCACATTCATTCGCTATAAGGAATAGTTCACCCAAAAATAAAAATAAAAATTGCTAAAATTTACTCACCCTCAGGCCATCCAAAATGTGATGAGAAAACAGTCCAAACCAGTTCTAAACAGCTATATCGGTGGATTTTGATGTAAGCGGACAAAGGGGATGGACACTTTCACTGGAGGAAGCATTATTATCAATTTTGGAATGATTTTGGATTTATTGCAAACATGCAGCTTTTCACTTCACAATGCTAATTGATGGGCTGGGGTTGTGATCTGTTTGGACTCTCATTCTGACGGCACCCATTCACTGCAGACGATCCATTAGTGAGCAAGTATGTAATGCTACATTTTTTCAAATCTGTTCCAATAAAGAAACAAACTAATCTAGGATGGCTTGAGGGTGAGTACATTTTCAGCAAATTTTCATTTTTGGGTGAACTGTTCCTTGAAGTTGAACCACTATAATACAAAAAGTTATTAACAGTAAACGACATAGTTGACTGTAGGGTTTCATAATTATATAAAATGGAAAGGGATGGCCATAATGTTTTTTTGAAACAAATGTAATTTTGTGAACTCTTACCGCTCCCAACCTTTTATTCAGCTACATTAGGATGTTTGAAAAAGTTTTGTGTGTGTGTCTGTGTGTCCCTCTCTGTAGACTATTGACTGTGGCTCTGTGACTGTGTCTGAGCTGGAGTTCACTGTAGATTTTAGTCTGAAGATAACGGCCAGCACCTTCTGTACAGTGAGTAGATCCAACTTCTAACACAAACACACATTTACCAACAAACTGTGATTATTACCTGTCTTACACACACTTCAATCTTCAGAGCTAATCAAGGTTGTCAGGTGTGAAGATTAATTAGGGGTGGGAAGATGGATTGGCCATTTGATTGGATGGGATGGGTCAGGGAGCTCACACATCAGTCTGGTTTGATGGACAGACAAGTTTTCTTACAGGTGACGGTAAAGACAGGCAGTGAAAGGTTTACTTTATTTCATGGCCTAAATTCAACCGCATGTCAGGTTATTAAAGGAAGATCTGAGACAAAAGTCATTATTTACTCACCCTTGTGAAATTTTTGAAATGTCAAGCTCCGTTTCAGGAACTTTTCATTGTTGACATGTCTGTCAAGCTCCAAAAAGAACAAAAACAAAAAAAAAAACATAAAACTTCCAAAAAAGTAGATTATATAGCTTGATCAAGTAAATGCAGCCTCGGAGAGCATAAGAAACTTCTTTCAAACAATCTTATAAACACCTAACTTTTTGAATGGTAGTATATATTCAAAGTAGGCTATATATTTCTCTTTTTGTCAATAGTCACTGAAATTCATCTTTTTAATATACATCATTTGAAAAATACAGTTGTCGATTCAGCTTAATCAAGCTGGTGCAATGCAGTCATTTATGACACATGCGAGAACCAATGCCTTTTGGTTTTAAAAGAGTCATTTGGACTATTTTTATAGTGTTTTTTTGGTTATATTGGATCTTGAACAGCCTACATTGTAGGAAACAGAGCAGCATGGGCATTCTTGAGAGTTTCTTCTTTTGTGCTTTTTTTTTTTAAATAGCATTATACAGGTTTAGAACACACATGAGGGTGAATAAATCCATTTCTACGTGAACTATTCCTTTCAAGACAATATGTTCCTTTTTTTCTAGCTATATTGTGTGCTAGTTCACCATTCGTGTCGGGTGTATTTTCTAGCGAGAGAGAGTGTGTGTGTTTGTCAGTGAAAGAGTGAGACTTGGTGAGAGACCAAGTGAAAAGAGAAAAAAAAGCAACTGAAGTGTAGAAAGTGTCATTTTTCTTTTGTCTCCCAGTTTTGTCCCAGCATTATTGTTCCTGCTTCTTTGTTATAGCTTTTATGGATTAATCAATACTGTATTATTATCTCCCTTCCCCTCTCCGAGTTACTCTGGATTTAATGGGGTTTGTAAACATCATCTCATTTTTCTGCTGCTCTCCAGTAATGGAAAAGCACATCCCGATTTCCTCCCCTTTTTAAAAACTTCTATTTTTAGATAGGAGGCAAGCAATTTGCAGTTTTTTAAATATCCTTGAATGTAACGAGGAAAATTCAGTTTATAGTCATCGATGGGATTCAGCGCCCTATTTTGCACTGCTTTGTCATGTAATTATGGAGGTACCCCAAAAACGGAGGGAAAATGCTGTCATCCCCATGATTGAGTGCATGGACTTATTCTCGTGCCGACAGTCCATTCATCACATCAGGCTGCCTAACCTTGCATTAAATGAACAGCGCTACCCTGCGCTCTCGTGCTCGGCCGGCGGAAGACAAATAACGCTCACTCTTACAGTTGCACTGGTCCTCGGCTCACGTTGTCCACAGGGACGACAGTCTCTCCTTACTCTCTCTCTCAGTATCTCTACTGCTTTCTATTTCACCTCCCTCCAGAAAAATAATGTGTCACTCCTAAATGTATCAGATTAATTTTGATAAATTCAATATGTATCATTAAGCTCACTTTTGGCCAAATTAGTAGTAAGTGGGGTAAGCTGTGCCGCCTTAAGTTCCCTTCAATTAAAAATATAAAAAATAGGATGGAGTAAAACTAACTGAAATAATACTTCAAATTCAGGATCTGTTTCAGAATACACAATATTTCATGTGTGGATGGATAAGCTTACTTAGCGAGAAATGTAAAATTTACGTTTTATTATGCCTCTTATCTCAAGCAGCTGTATATATAGGATCTTTCAAAATATGGTCATGTGACAAAACTTATGCACAAATGACATATGTTTGCATTAAATTACTCAGTAAATAAATAAATGCTTGAACTTTCTACTCATTAAAGATCCTGAAAAAATATCAGTTTTCAACAAAAATATTAAGCAGCTCAACATTCCTAATAATACTAAATATTTCTTAAGCGGCAAATCAGCATGATAGAATGATTTCTGAAGGATCATGTGACATTAAAGACAGGAGTAATGATGCTGAAGATTCAGCTTTGTGTCACATGAATACATTTTAAAATATTTTAAAATAGAAAAGCGCTCTTTTTAAATTATAATATGTAATTAATCGAATGCAAATTGTAATATTTCACAGTAACTTTAATATTTCACAATAACTGTTTTTAAAGTATTTTTGGTCAAATAAATGCAGACTTGATAAGCATGAGAGAATTATTTCAAAAACATAAAAAAAAAAATATATAAAAACACTTACCAACCCCAAACTTTTGAACAGTATTCCATGTCCTTTGAAACAATAAAATAGCTTTGTGTCAATAGTCACTGAAATTCATCTTCATTGTAGAATACAGTTGTTGATTCAGCTTAATCGAGCTGGTGCAATGAAGTCATTTGACACATGCGAGAACCAATGCCTTTTGCCTTTAAAAGGGACATTTGGACTATTTTTTGTGGTGTTTTTTGGTTTTGTTGGATCTTGGACAGCCTGTGTTGTAGGCAGGAGAGTAGCATGAACATTTTTGAGAGTTTCTTCTTTTGTGCTTCATTGAAAAATAACATCATACAGGTTTAGAACATCATGAGGGTGAGTAAATCCATTTCTGTGTGAACTGTTCCTTTCAAGACAGTATGTTTGCTTGAAAAATACAGCTAACATTGAAGGTCTAGGGCTTGTATATTAGGTATAAAATGTTAATGGCACGTCTTGTGCACTGCAGTTAAAGCACATCTGAAGATGGTTGTGCGTAATGTTTGCGTCAGTGGTGATTTGCCTTAAGGACACTTCATGTTACATCAAGCTGTGACAAGAACAATACTGGTAATGATCATACAGTATCTGGGGGAAAAGAAAGGGGGATAATGCTTGTTTTCTACATATTTGTAAAATGTCAGTGGAGCCAAAGCAATGGGTAGAACAGTGTAAGTACTAGCAGTAATTAAGTTCTTTTTAAAATGTGCTTAAGTTATAATTGGAAGTTATGATAGGATGTTTAAATGGTGCAGCTTTACAGTGTTATTAAATATTTAAATTTCATATTAATGCTCATTTGATGTACTTTTGAACTTTCTGTTCAAGAATCTAGCAAAAAAAAAGTATCAGTTTCCACAAAAATATAAGCAGCACATGATTTTAATGTTGATAATAATAAGAAATGTTTCTTGAGCACCAAATCAGCATATTAGAATGATTTCTGAAGGATCATGTGACACTGAAGACTGGAGTAATGATGCTGACAATTCAGCTTTGCCATTACATAAAAAAAAATATTTGAGTAGAAAACAATTATTTCAAATTGCAGTAATATTTCACATTATTACTGATTTTAGTGTATTTTTATCAAATAAATGCAGCCTTGTTGGCCAAGAGTCTTTGAAAAACATTTACAAATCTTTTAAACGAAAGTGTAGGTGGTTGTGCAATAAAACGTTAGTTATTAACAGCATCACTGTATTACTCACCCTTTCCAATATCCATCTGTTATGATTCATTGTGAGCATCATGCATGTTATTTTTGTTAAAAAGCGCAGTGACATCTTGAAATGCGCTCATCATGCGTTTCTGATTACTTCAGAGACTGACTCGACATTTCCAGTGAATGTTAACAATGGGACATCTTTAGATATCCCAAACTGCTGAGACTCATTGGGTGAAATCAAGTCAGTGGAGTTTCAGTATAGATCATCAGTGTGGTACAGTAAATGTTCATTTTATGCAAATTACACTTCCTTTGTGCATACAAGTTACTCTTTGTTAGTTCTTGACCTCCAGTAGTTGTCGTAAAGGAGTAGCAATCGTAATCTAGCAAATGCATTTATTTAAAGTGACTTGCCTAATCAAGCTCTGAATCTAATCAAGCCTATTTTTTACTTTCTTATAATTAAAAGTGCCCCAAAGTAATCAAAAAGGTGTTACTGTAAATGCATGATAGTTTATCAGCAGGGAAGTGCAGTTTGAGTACAAACAATTCTGCAATTCTTTCTCTATTTTTGTTGCTGCCTCTCTGGTGGCCACATTAAGACTTTTATTGGCATGATAAAAGCTACTTGTTTTTAACAGAACAGTATGCACAGGATGGCCTAAAATATAATTGAGAGAAATGTTTAAGAAATAAAGATTTTGGAAATGTTAAACTATGTTTTGGAAAACTGGTTCGCAATGGCTGTTGAAACAAGTTTATCCATGTCCTTGCCATCCCAAGTGACATGTGTGATGTATCATGTACACAAATTCTCATGTACATGATGCATACAGTTGTTTTGCATTGTAATGTGCTCATAAATTATTCTGTTGCATGAATGATTGTGCTTTGCTATGAGGGAGACTAATAATTACTATAATGTGAGGCTATTTTAATAACACTAGTTCCAGCAGAGTGTCAAACTAGAGTCAGTAGTGTACAAACCCCACTCACCGCATCAGTGTTTAAGCAACACTGTCGATTTTAACAGCCAATATGGCTAATCCAGTCATAGATTTTATAGTACATTTATTGTCTGGACTATCTATTTTAGTTCAAATGTTTTTATTATACATTTTTAGATCAGAAAATGTAAATGGAGGGCATATAGCACCATAACTAGTTGTTTTTCCATTGTTCATTAACAGTCTTGAATACAAAGGGAGGCTCAATTTTTGCCACTTATTTGTACAAATGACCTGAAATAGTATGAAGTTATTTTTAGTTATTTTCAAGACAAAAAGTGTTGTAATCATCTTCTAAGAGAAGCAAGAAAGGCTGTATTTGTTCTGTTTTAACTAATGATAGGCTACCACTTTTCTACAGCATTTCTGCCTCTCTCTATACTCCACTTGACTTAATGTAGGTGACTGTGAGTGTTCTTGCAGTAATGCCCTTCCCCTCTAATTAAACCCTGTGTATTTGTTTCCAGTGCGGCGGAACGTCAAACTCCGAGGGAAAAGCAGAATAACAGGAACGGGGGTTTCGTTGGCATTGGTGTGTGATGTGCACAGAATAAGAGAGACACCGGGTTGAGAAGGAGGAGGGGGGGTAGAGAGCTGGAGGTGGTCGAGTGTGACGCCTCGCACGCGTGAATAAACCCCATCAAAAGCGCATTAGCTCTCCCTCCTCCGCAGCTCGCCGCATAATTGTATCTGGCTGCACCACGCTCTGCTCCGACATGATAGCGCTGGAAAGGGCTTGATGATGAATTGCTCCCCGTTGGTGTTAGCGATGATGATAATTATTAATTTTCCCCCGACCTGTTCTCCAGGTAGCCTTGCCGAGCGGCACCGTGTGCCGCCTCCTGGGCCGGGAAACAGCTCGCGCGCATCACTTATCTCCGACATTCCCCGGGTGTGAAGGCTGAACACTTTGATGAGAATAAAAAGCCTCTGTTTCCACCATTTGTCCCCCTTTTCCCCACGCAACTCAGGCTTTTGTGTCTGCTCTTTCACTCCGCCCCGGTGCGTTAACGGGGGTGGTTTTATTTTGTTTTATTTCTGGCAGGGAGTTATTTGGCTCTGACCCCCTTGTTTTCAGTGCGCGTCCTCTTTTATCGGGTCTTGGTTTCTGTTGACATTTCTGGGCAATTTACGCTGACAAAAAGGATGAACCCGTTTAAAGGAAAGCGGTTTGGAGATGCAGAAATTTTAGTTTTAAATAAAGGACTTATGGAAAGTAAGGAAAACATTATGCATCACCTGCTGTTTTATTACAATTACCATTAATTATAGAAAATTATCGGAAGACCGTAATTGAAAGTAAAATGTATTTGAGAAAGCATATTAAAATGTATAGGCCTATAGGTTATATTAAAATGTGACCATATTAGTAATATAATTGGTTGTAATTATTATAGTAAATGTTAAAAAATACTGTATACACATAAACATTTAATTTACTAATCTATAAATATAAACAGTTAAATGTTAACTTTTTTCAATTCTGTTTTTAATACTGTTTTTAATAGTGCCTTAAATAAGCCCATATGAATGAATCACGCAGAACAGAAGTTGTTTGTGGATGTGGTGCTAAACCCTTGATTATGTTGCTGTGGCTTTGTCCTCTTAAAGCTATTTTAACAGAAGAAGAGGAGGATTAATAGTTGGTTGTTCTGCTCTGGTTTGTAGGGGAGGGAGAGAGAGACACAGGCATTAAGCCAGAGCTGTATTTCTCCCCACAAGGTCCCTGGGATACTTCAGGCAGAATGGCTTACATTATCATTGCAGTGTCCCCTGGGAGTTCACAGGGTGACTGCGCTCTGTTTTCTGTGTGTGTGTGTGTGTGTGTGTGTGTGTGTGTGTGTGTCCATCTGTGAGAAGGTGTGTGCGGTGACACAGCTCAGCCTTTCATTCAGGGAAATCCTCCTCAATTTACACATTTCATGACTAAATAAATACTTTAGAAATGTAAATTACTCCTTTCCAGTAAATCGCCGTGTTTGGCTGATTGCAAACAGTTGCATATGGGAAATATTGTACTTGGAAACAATGTGAGTCATCAAAAAGAGAAAGTTATGAAATGTTAGTCCCCAATCAATCATATTTATGAGCTGTTCTTCATCTCTGGCGTGCCAAATGACTCGCAAATCCACTCTTCCTAACGCATTCAATAAGTAATTAGCCCTGATTTGGTAATTATTGGTCCACGTAATGTCTGATAATGTTCATTACAATCCATAATTACACTGACCTGGCTTTTTTTCTATCACAACTTCAGTGATGTCTCTTGATCTTAACTGTCATTTCCGATAAAAAGTGATTTGCTTGGATTTGAGAATTGTGTTAGATTTTTATACACTCCTAAGAATAAAGGATCTTTATTGGCATCTGTGTTTCCATGAATATCCTTTAACATCCATGGAATCTTTCTATTGCACAAAAGGGTTCTTTATAGTAAAAAAAGTTTTTTCAGATTATTAAAATGTTCTTCACACTAAGAAAAAAATGGTTCTGTTAAGAACTATTCACTGAAAGGTTCTTTGGGGAACCCAAAATGGTCCTTCTATGCCATCACTGCAAATAAAACAATTTGGACCTTTTTTTTTAAGAGTGTAATATAATTCTGATTCAAAGACTCATTATCGGTCTACACATTTAAGATCTACCAAAACAGCTGGGGACAGAAAGTTAATTTACATTTTACCTTAATGAAGCAACTTTAAAATAATGCATGCTTTCACAAGTCATTTTAAGGTATTTTGTAAATTTGTACGTTGTGGGCAGATTTTTGTATTTTATTTTAAATTGGTACCATCTTTAGATCTCAGCTGTCATTTCCATAAATATTGAATTGGACAGAAAGTTAATTCATAATTGAATTTAATGTAGTAACTTTAAAATGATGTATGGTTTCATAAGTCAAAAATGTTAAGGTATTTTGTAAGTTGTGTACAGCTTTTTATTTGATTTTATATTATTTATTTTATTTTTAAACATTATTCTATGCACAATGATGCTTTATAAACAATATTTAATTTCAAAAGAGTGAACAATAAAAATGCTGCACCCAGTGTAGTTAGTTAAAGGAAAAAGCATTTAAAAAGAAGCATCTTATTTCAAATTTAGTAACTGCTACTTTTTCTTGCCTCTCTTTTTAAACATCTTTTTGAGTTGTTCCATTTTCATTGTGCCATTGCCATGCTTACATCTCTATTTATGCCCTGTTTTTTTTTTTAAGTCTGTTTGTCATATGTAAGATTCACTAAAGCAGCCAGTTTATAATTTGAATTAGTTTAATAAAGCAGGTTTAAAATGAAGGCATTTTGTAAATTTGTGTGCTAGATTATTATTATTATTTTTTATTTAATTTAATTTTAATTAAAGTTGAAAATACTCCAGATTTGGTTAAAGAAAAGAGCAGCTCCAGTAAACATCTTGCTTAAAATTTAGTCACCTCTTCTTTTTCTTCCCACTCTTTTTTAAGATCTTAGAGGTGTCTTTTTTTCCCATTGTTGTCTTGCTTACCTCTCTCTTTATGCCCCGTTTTCTCTTTATCGGTGTATTCTCTCTCTCTCTTTCTCTTCTCATTGATTGCGCTCTTTGTGTGAGCGAGCAGACCCTCGTGTTGTCAGCTGCGTCAGGATTAAAAGCTATTAGTTCTGCATCATTGCCACTACAAGTATGCTCCTGAGATTGATAGAGTTGCTCCACTGTCATTGGGGGCAGGTTGGGACAAAAAAGGGTAGTTTTCATTTCCATAATATTGGGTATTTTACACACTGTATGTATTAACACAGAGAACAAACAAAAATGATTATTATTCATCACTAGACTTTATTAAATAAAAAGATTATCTTTTTAGATGGAGCGTTTCCACAACACTGTGCTTTTTTTTAAATTACTTGTCAACATGTCTGTTTTTACCCTGTTTTGCTAATTACTTCCTGCTGGCCCGAACACGTGTGAGCGTTTACGAAAATGTCATGTTCTAACCTCTCTCTCATATTTCATTCCAGGCCATCGTGGGCTATTTTGATATTTTCTTCGACAAGAGCTGCGGAAACAAGGTAAGCAATAGTGCTGTGCTGTTTAACAGCGAGCATTTGCGGTCACGCCTTGCCGTCTTTTAGGCCCGAGGCAATCGCAATGCAATCGCCAGCCTCTCATACCTAAATGCTGAAATAAGCATTTGCCTTCCTCCAGTGGCCAACTGGAACAGGCAATGAAATAAGCTAAACCCATCAGGACTGGGAGAGCGATCGTGCACTGGGTTCTGATAATGGGAGTTTAAGCAGGAGGATGAGGAGGGATCTTCCGTCTTTTGTCCTGTTTTTGATGTTTGAGAACATTGTTTAAACTGTTAATGATCTGGTGGATAACCACAGCAATTATGTTTGCTTTGGCCTGATTCAGTTTAAAGGAGCAGTTGGTTTGTTTTCTGACCTGGGAAATTTAATATTGCATTTTATTTTGGCCCATTTTCTGTCTTCACACTTCTCTCTAGTTTCCCTAAATTCAGTCTCTGTTGTCACCTTGTAATGAATTTGTAATGAAATAATTTGCATTACATTTTTTTCATTGAACTTTACACTGCCACCTATCGGCCTGGATGTATGGAAGCTTATTTCCGTTATTCCGCTATAAAAAATAAAAAAGGTAATTGCGACTTTTTATCTCTCTGTTCTGACTTTTTCTCACACTTGTGAGTTTATATCTTCTGATTCTGACTTAATATCCCACAATTTGCCTGTTTTATCTCACAATCGCAAGTTATAAAGTCATACCTGCCAATTTACATTTCGCATTCAGACATTTTTCTCATAATTCTGACTTCACATCTTGCAATTCTGTTGTTGTTTATAAATAAAAAAGTTAATTTCGACTTTAATCTCACAATTCTGACTCTTTTCTCAGTTGCGGGTTTAGACTTCACTATACAGACTTCTGAGTTTGCATCTTGCAATTTTGATCTTCTTCAGAGAAATAAATGTCTCGCTATTCTGTATTCTGTATTTGTTTCTGCCACAGAATAAAAAACTAAAAATAAAAAAGGTAATTGTGACTATGACAATTCAGACTTTTTTCTCAGTATTGGGAGCTTATGTATTACAATTTTGACTTAATATCCCACAATTTTGAGTGTATATATCTTGCAATTGTGAGAGAAAAAAAAATCAATTTTTTTTAGATAGATTTTAGATATAATTTAGTATTGCCAGAAAAAGTCAGAATTGTCACATAAAAACTCAATTACCTTTTTTATTCTTTATTGCAAGGCAAAAATAAGCTTCCATAGACGCAACATCACACAAAAGCAGGTGTTTTTTATTAGTGGTGCCTTTCAAAAAGGCAGGCATGTTTATCATCCATAGCTGATTTATTCTGCAACCAAAAGTGTCAGATTATTAGGGGTTACTGGGATGAAGTGAGTATTGTTTGGTCATGTGATCTCATCATGCCAGTCGCCATGACAGGGCGACCCACCTTATGTAGAATAAAACAGCTCCTTTTGATTTTTAGGTGTAAAGTTTTTTGTAATGGAAAAAAAAAAAAACTACCCAAATATTGTTTGTAAATATTTATTTGCATGAATCCTCTTTAGTCATCAAGTTTTGACACCAAAACGGAGTATTTCCACTTACAGAATCAATCACTTTTCTTTCTTATCAGTCAATTTTCAACATAAGTCAAGCAGGGCAAGAGCATTTTCCTGTTTATCTCAACATAAACTGGTTTTTAATACAGCTGTGTTTTAATTTTAGGTCATGTTCTCCACTGCTCCAGACTGCACTAAGACTCACTGGAAACAGGCGGTGTTCTTACTAGAAAGCCCTATCCCTGTCAAAACCGGTTTGTATCCCGTTCACACATGCTTCCTATTTGTTTTAACTGTCTTCACACCAGTGTTTGAATGTACTTGTGTCTGTCTTTAAACTGTGATGAGATCTGGCAAGTACATATGCAGCCATCACCTTTCTTTAAAACACAAAAAAAGATGTGTCACAGGGAGGTGTATCCTATCTTTCTTTACTCTGACAGTTGATTCTTAGACGGTGACACAGGTTATCCGTCAGTCATTGAGAGATAGACACATGATTGAGCAGTTCTAAAGCCTGTCCACATAAACAATGCAGTTTGTTCTTTCTGTTGATAAATATATGTGATGATGCAGTATATTGAGTCTTGACAATCATTCCAACAGGGTTTCAAGATGACACAACACATCAGGTTTGTAGATAGATTTATTTAGGGGCATTGTTTTTGTGATCCCTATGTTTTATGTTGTTCTAACACAAAATCATATGTCCGGTTGAGGTTGTGTGTAATCTGATTACATGGTATTTTCACATAGAACCAATAATCCGTTGACTACTGGTGAGCCCAAAGGATTTTTATCACTTAACACATTTTTAAATATGCTTACAAAGCATTTAACAACATGAACACATAAGAGATTTATTTTGTTGTTATATGACAATTACTGTCGCCACTTAAGATTAAATATTAGAAAATTAAACAGAAATTTTCTTTTAATTTTTTAATTAAGAACTGTTCAAATTGAATCATGTAAATAAGCAAACTTACGCAAAAGCAAATGCATTATATATATATATATATATATCTGTGTGTATATGTGTGTATATATATATATATATATATATATATATAAAATGAAAAACGTAATTTTTAATTAAATAATTATTTGTTTATTACAGATTTTTTAAATTATAAAATGTAAAAAAAGTTTTATATTTGTTATATTTTGTGTTATACTGTATATGTAAATATGAAATATATATTATACATAGCAATGCATCTTACTAATCAAAAATTAAGTTTGAATATATTTACTGTAGGAAATTTACAAAATATCTTCAGGGAACATGATCTTTACTTAATATCCTAATGATTTTTGGCATAAAAGAAAAATCAATAATTTTGACCCATACAATGTTTTTTTGGCTTTTGCTACAAATATTACCCCAGCGATTTAAGGTTTTGTGCTCCAGGGTCACATATAAGTTTTAAAAGGCTTTTGCTTTTAGTTATGTCACTTATTAATAATAACATTAATGTAATTGTAATGGTACTACGGTTATATTAATTGACAAATAATTCAAATATTATAATTGTAGTAGTGTTTCTTGCCCATATAAAATGATTTGGTTCCTGTAAAGAGGATTCAAGTGTAAAAACACCATAAAACGGCATCATTGATATCAGCCAGAAACTGATTCATTTAAATGTACATTTCTGTGTCATTCTATTTTAATATTTATTTAAATTTATATTATTTATTTTTAACTGGCTATTGCAAAATTGCACGCATATCAGCCCTCTATTGTTTAAAAGAAGCAAATAATGGGAAGAATACTATGAGAGGGAAGTGAATCAGAATCTGAAAGTTTAAAAAAAAATCATATTGCCTCATGTTTAGGTATAAGAGCAACGCAGACCATCTACACTTAGATCACGAGACAGCATCCCGGCCATGCTAACAGATGACGTGTGTCTTATCATAATGGGAATCGGAGAAATGTCATCTGATGTGCAGATGGATGAAGGTGCTTTAGCCAGTTTCTCTGATACAGCGCACACTATTATAAATGACTGTGGCCTAACAGTAGCTGTCCACGGGCATTACCACGGACAGTCCCTGCAGGAGCCGTTCAATGATAAGAGTGCCGTCCACCTGAAGGTCTGCTAACGCTACTCCTGCATTGTTGATACCAGCATCAGATTATAATCAGAAGGCACAGTTGTGTGATTATATTGCATGGCATATTTGACCATTTTGCAGTAGCTCCAAAAAATGACAAATCTATAAACAGTGTCCCTCACACTGGTGATTTATAGTGACTAACCTTGATTAAGTTATTTATATTTCATATTTTCCTCACATGCACACTCACCTAGCTCTGCGAATGGCCTATTGCCTCTTGATTGGCACCATATGGGTTTAGAGTTTTCGTTTTCTGTTTGCTTTGCTGTTGTCAAAACCATATGTGCAAATGTGTGTAATGAAAAGATAAAGGAAAAATTGATAAGAGAAACATCTTTGGGGGAAACAAGTGTTTTTGGGCATGTACCATGATTATACTATAGTATAATTTGGAGTACCGTGTATAGATTTGTTTAACATCCTATAAGAATGATATAAAATTATAAAATGGTATTTTGTCATCATTCATGGTACATTACTGTTCAGATGTTTGGGGTCAGTTTTTTTTATTTATGAATACATTAGGTTGATAGAAAGCATTCATCAAAGAATACTGAAAAAAATTATATCGGCTTCCACAAAAAAAATAAAATAAAAAATCAGCACAACTGTTTTAAACATTTCTAATAAGAAATGTTTCTTAAGCATCAAATCAGTAATACAAAACAGCAAATTCACCTGCTGAAAATTCAGCTTTGCAATCACAGGAAAACAAAAAAAATTATATATATATATATATATATATATATATATATATGCGTGTGTGTGTGAAAATAGAAAAGTTATTTCAAATTATGATTATATTTCATAATATTAGTGTTTTTACTGTATTTTCATAAAATAAATACAGCCTTGGTGAGTAAAAATAAAAATAAAATTTTCATCCCAAAACCACAGAAGTGTATATCAATATACAATAGTATTACCGCAGTACTTTTTTTGGCTGCTCTGGTAACTATTTATGTCTCTTCTTTTTGTGAAATTAGTAATTGCCTTTGTTCAGTCTATACTCATTTTTCAGTCGCATTTATGTGTTAAAGTAGTGGTGTCAGTTTATCTTATTGATTTAGTACAGTTATTATAAAAAAAAGAAAAATTAATGCATTTAATCATGACCTGCCAAAACCACACTTACTGTGAGCATGAGTAAGGAGTCGTTCACAGATGATGCAAAACTTGAAACACACATCTAAAAGTTCTTTAACTTAATTTGGCACCTTGAAAAATAACTGAAACTTTATATGTCATGATTCATTTTTATTGATTAAAATGAAAAGATAAGAACCACACTTTCCTGTAATGTATCTCACAAAAATATGAATCTTTTCAAATAATATTAGGAATTACATTTGACATTCTTCTCATTTTACTTAATAAGTGATTTGTAACTTGTGAATTTAAATTGGATTTCTTTTCCAAACAATAACAGTAATGTGTTTTGTGTTGTATATCGCCAGGCTGTCATTTGCATAAAAGAAATCGAGAGAAAAATGATTGTTAGAAGAAAAATGCATTCCTGTCAGCTCACGCTCAGGTTGCGTGGATTCTTCTCCTGTTTGTGTTAGTTTAGTAATTACTTTTCAGCGGTGTGATGAGAGGGGAGGTAGAGTATTCAACGGAAATGCAAAACGCCCTCAGAAACGCCTTCAGATGCTGTCGCATCAATTAAAGCAGCCATCATTTGTCATGATTTAGTTGGTTTTGCCGATCATTAAAAGGAAAAGATGAGAACATTTCCTTGAAAAGCTTCATTTGTCATGCGTAACCAACCTTTGAGCTCGAATAAAAGAGGTCACCCTGTGTTGAGTGGTCTTGGGACATTTTGAGGGTAGAAAGTGTATTGCACGTCACGTCTGCTCTCCAAATAAGTGTTCAAAAGCCGATATATTGGTAATAGACTTGAAGAACAAGGCTGCTTATTGAATCAACCATGCAATGCTTTCTGTAGTGCTTTTAAGTAGTTTGAACTCACAGGAAGTGCAGTCTGTCTGCTGTGTGAAAAGGTCCTTGAGGTGTCAGAGCAAGGTTCCTTTAGGAGGAGGTGCGATTATTTGATAGACGGGGGCACTGTGGTGAGCTGGTGATTCCGAAGGCCTGTTTTATGCATCTCCTTTACAGGGGCCGCAGATTTATGAGGTTATGCGCTGCAGAGCGAGAGAGAAGTTTTATAATGCAGCCTTTGTATCTTGTGCTGGAGTGTTGGGGAAGGCTTTTTTTCCCTGAAAACTGCTATAGTGATTGAACATTAGACATACTGATACTGTATTTCATTTACAAGTCCATGTTGCAAAAGTAATGTCTTTCAAAGGGTTAAATAGTTCACCCAAAAATGAGAATTCTGTCATCATTTAACTCCAAATCTGTTTCAAATCTGTTTTTTTTATTTTTCTTTAAGGTCCAGTGTTGTTTTGGACCCCACTGACTTTCATTATATGGACAAAAACAGTTTGTGTTGTGCAGAAGAAATTTATCATTACATCACTTGCTCACCAATTTGCTCTGCAGTGAATGGGTGCCGTCAGAATGAGAGTCCAAACAGCTGATAAAAACATCACAATAATCCACAAGTAATCCACATGACTCCAGTTCATCAATTAACACCAAAAGTTGCACATTTGTAATAAACAAATCCATCATTAAGATGTTTTCATTTTTAACTGTCGCTTCGAGATAATAATCCATAATAGTCTATTATCCATAATAAAGCTTCCTCCAGTAAAAAAAAATATATTTTAAAAGAATTTTTCACTGGAGAAAGCAATATTATGGATAGCGGACTAGTAACAGTTTAAGCTAAAAATGTTATTACAAATGTGCAGCTTTTTGCTACACAAGATATTAATTAATGGACTGGAGTGGTGTGGATTATTGTGATGTATTTATCAGCTGTTTGGACTCTCATTCTGACGGCACCCATTCACTGCAGAAGAAATTTCTCCAAATCTGTTCAGAAGCAGAAACAAACTCATCTACATCTTGGATGGCCTGAGGGTGAGTAAATGTTCAGCAAAGTTTCCTTTTTTGGTTGGGCTATTCCTTTAAATTAATATTTGCGTAGCCTATGACGCTTGTTCTGTACATTTACACACCAGCTTGTTGATTAGCAGTCACATTATCAAGGAATACATCAAGATGTTTTAAGTTGTCTCGATCGTTTCTCGTTTCAGCCTCCGTCACCCTTGGTTGCATTGGCATGTTTAATGCAAATGGCACGGTGATGTATGATGGCTCTAGAAGCAGCCTTGTCTCCTTCATTTAATTAACGTGCACCAACAGCTTCTTTCTCATAGATCGCCAATCTTTTTCTCGCCTCTGTAGTCTCAGAATAAAATCTTCCAGTAACTACATCCCAAACTGCTTTACTCTGAGATTTAACCAGGAATTGTAGGGTCAAGTAATTTCACTCTCTGTCTATTGGTTCTCTCTACAGACCTCTGTGTATCAAAGCCCATTGGCAGTAACTGTGGGAAAGTGTTTGTTATGAAGTGCACACACACCAGTGTGCTGCACACAGCCATTTTCTGCAGGGTGCTGAAGTTTAATAGATCTTTCTATCATTTGTGCTCATACTGGTCAAGAGAAAACCCACTGTGCATGCTTTTTACTTTTGGTAGGCAATATGCGATCTGTCAAGTTGTCACTGCACAGCTGATTTTAATTAAAGGATTTCTTGCTAGATCAACTTTTTTACAAAAAAAAAAAAATATATATATATTCTTCAGCTTTTTTTGTGCTTTTTTGCTATTGAACAAACCTTTTGATGATTTCTATTCCTGACACATTAGTGCATGACTTGTTTGCCAAATAGTTTCTAAAGGCCCGTTCACACCAAGAATGATAACGATAGCTATATTAGCATTCACATAAATGCGTATTCACATAAATAATGTTCTGTGTATTATAAGCATGTAGGGTTGGGAATTGTACGAAATTTTACAGTTCCGGTTCGGCCTAATGATTCCAATTCTGATTCCATTAAGTATTAAACTATTCCATTTCTATTCAAATTATTAAGGAAATTCAGTCAATTCTTTTTTATGACTCCAAAAAAGAAGTCAGAAAATAAGTTTTTTTTTCTATTTTATGTTTATTTATACATATGTGTATTTTATTCACATCTTATTTTTTATTATCTGTGTGTTGTTGTTGTCTCTGTGTACTGGAAGCTTGTGACACCAAAACAAAATCCCTGTATGTGCAAACATACTTGGCAATAAAGTTTTTTCTTACTTCTGAGAATTTCATCCGTGTTTTCTGCATTCTGGTAAAGTTCCCAGTGCTTTGCTAACGCGTTGCACCAGAAACATTTTTAGAACCGAAAGTTATGAATTTTGCACAGTTCTGGTATTTTTCAAAAAACAGAACTGGTTCTGTATAAGAACCACTGATCTATATAAATATTATCTAATATAGATCAGTGATAAGAACCTTTCTTGGTCCCTAACCTTGTAAGTGCATGCTGAAGCTTCCATATATTCCTCTGTGGCGTTATCATTATAGTTGTGGTATAGACTTCCCTATTCTCATAGAATTAGAATGATTATTTCAACTTTATAGTATTTGTCCTTGGTGTGAACAGGCCTCAGCGGTCTTGAACTTGCATCCAAAAGTAACGTTTTGGGGTTAAGGAAAAGTGAATTGTGAAATAATTAATTTTTAATGTTCTTTTAAGGGGATCATTTGACAGTAAAAGGTACAAGAAAACCGATGTGACAGTTGCAGCGCACTGTGACGGTCACATCTGACTTCTCCCCATCTCCTCATGTCAAAATGCTGCAGTCAGCGTATTTTTATCTCATGTAACCTGCAGCAAAGAAAGAAATGATGGGGGGTGGGGGGCTTGTTTGCCAAATGGGTAAACATTCATTTACGTCTGGCAGTGAAACGTGAAGTTAATCAAAGTGATTATCTGGTGTAATCATCGTCATTGTCTTCAGGCCTTCCTTATAAACCGTGCCGCCTGTATTCCTACTGTAGTTGTACTGTAGAGAGCAGCAGCTTTCTCTGCCATCTGGAGCCAAGCTGCATGTCATCCTCCCGATTCACTCTCAGTTTTTTAATCCCATCTTTCTCTTCTCAGCTAGTTTCAGTTTTGTTCAATGAGAGGCAGTAGATATTCCCACTTTTAGTATTACACAGCTACGAGTTTTGACAGAAAAATGTCAGTTGTGGCTGAGCTGTATGGTAATAAAAAGTGAATATTTACTCTTGCATGTAAACGCATGCCAGGAAAGCTCAAATATCTTCCATTTCTAGCTGGTGTGAAGGCATGTCACCATGGAGATTGATTTGTGTCAAATCCTGTTTTCCACTCTCTATTTTTCCTTGTGCAGGAGAGGAACTTCCAGGTCAAATCACAGTGCATAAGAACAGAAAGGACCCCAGAGCACTGCTCATCACACTTGACATCGCTGGCCGGAAGCAAACCTACAGCCTCCAGTGAAGAAGTTTTATTAGGGGAAAACACATACTTTGAGCAATGCAGTGTTTAATAACTGAAACATTCTATTAAAAGTTTTTCTATCAAATGTCAATCATTCATGAGTTGTATATAGAGGGAAAGTTGTTCTCTCTGTGACAAACAACAGGACCATACACAGAGTCACCAACTTGGGCAACTAATTCAAGTCTGTCTTTGTTTTAAATCTCTTAATATCCCATAATATATTTGGGCCTCTTTGACTCTTCATGTCAAGCAATGGAAGAAATCTAATTTCCTACTTGAGTGAATAAAGTAAAAGCTTCCATGAAATCTAAGTGCTTCTATGTTCTTTTATAAAAAAATTAAAAGAAAGGATTTATATTTTCCATAAATGTAACACTAAAGTCCCCTGAGTCCTTTTTGTTTCACAAAGATCAGAGGTTAAGTTATTTTACTCATATGGTGCCAATCAAGAGGCAATAGGCCATTCGCAGAGCTAGGTGAGTGTGCATGTGAGGAAAATATGAACTATAAATAACTTAATCAAGGTTAGTCATCGTCATGTGCATACATAAGTCTAGCAACTTAGCTTCGAAACACTGAAGACCGAGCATTCACATAGTGATAGCAGACAAATGAATTACGACAATATTGTATAAGATTGGTTGCCTTTACGCACCCCGTTACATTGACAGCTGTCATAAAGAAATATCGCCTGAATGCCACAATTGTCCAATCAGAATAAAGTTTTCAGGGAGTCGTGTGATAACAGAACCTGTCCACTAGGGTGAGCAGATATTAGCTTCATTAGCTTAAAACGTGCACATGGCGGCCTCCCGGAAGATAAACAAAAGCTTGTTTGAATGGCAGTCAGTGATGCCTCACGCTAAATAAACTGCTTTTGTGTGGAAAAAGCTGATAATATAGGCATAACAAATCGATTGCATATCCGCTAGTCTATATGTTTGGCATGACTTCTTCATTCGAGAGTATATTTGGGGTCTGCGACCAAAAATGCTGTTTTTTTTTTTTTTTTAAGAAACGTGACAGTTTTGCCTCAGATATGATTTTTTTTTTTTATATACGGCACTACTGTACTAGATGTTTCAGTATCCACACTTACGGTCTTGCCCTTTAAGTGCACGTGACAAGACTGACCCAGGTCTTTAAAAAAATCCATCATGCTAATATGAAACCATCTTTTATTAATACAGTTGCGTTAAATTTGAAAAATGTCCACAGATAAGAAACTGATAATCGTTAGAAACATGATTTCGTTTAAGGCCCTATTCCATATCTTACGGGCACGTTTTGTGTTGTTTTAACAACAAATACTAACAAGACAAATGACCATCGGCTGATGCATAATCTTATTTTATGCAATTAATTATAGGGTGAAAGAAAGTGGAGAGAACTACTTTGTTTCAACGTAATTTATTGCTTATCAGACCCATTGTATCCACTGTCATTTTTAGAGCAAAGCAAAAACAAGTTCGGAAAATGCCCAAATACAAAAATTGTATTCAACACAAGACAATTCCAAATGTGAAACTGTAAAAAACAGCCTGAGAAACATAATAATTCGTTAGGTAAATGATTAGCTGGTTGTGGACCACTGAAAGACTGCATATTTTTGTTGGCTCTCTTAAGGCGTACCGTGTTTCTTTTTAACGTGCTTTAAAGAGAACGTATAAAGGTGACACGGAAAGAGAAGCAGAAATCAGTTACAATTATTCTCTGTTGACAAAGCAATTAAACCCAGAGCGAAGAGCTAATCCAGCCGTATAGAGGTTTATCACAGGCGGCCGCAGATTTATGATGGTCACTGCAGCAGCGTGCATGTCATGTATAGAGTGATATCAAGACTGAGGAACTGAGCGGCCGAAGATTGAATAACAACTTACCGACGTTATTATATTTCTTGTTTAATTGGTTGGGCACTTTATAATAACTTTAATCAAAAACCGATATTATATAATCGTTGACAGCTCAGTACATTCAAATATGAATCGACTTAAATGTACGTTATCTGTTATTAGGTCTATATATTGTAATGTGTGTGTGTGTTCAAGTTATTCATGCAAGTTATTCTTACCAATAATAATTATAATGCATAAAGATGCTATATTCAATTCAATGCTTCTCTGTTGAAAAAAAAAGGTGCTCTGGGGGATGATGCTCAATGCAGTGTGTTTACATCGAAGCTAAAAATAGAAAATTACTCCTTTGTCTTGCGTAAAAGTTTAACAAATGAGTGCCTCCACTCCTCTGAAAACCTCGCCCACTTTTCACACTTGAACAATACGTGTGCCGGTGACGCATAAGGGTACGCGTGCGTTCGTTTGACGTGTGAACTATGAACCATGAGATCCATTACTCAAATACTATAGAAGATATGCTACAAAAGTTTGTATAGTAGTGTTTCATAATTTTCCAAAGTCAACTGTTTGGTTGTAGACATAGCCATTCGTGTAAAATTTAAGCAACGTATCATATTTCATATAATATAGCAAAAATAATATTTCCATGGCCTTATCTAAATAAAAAAGCCAGACTTGACGCAGATCTGTGCATTGCATGTAAATGCACCTAACTGTGATAAGATGTAATTAGAAAACATAAAATGGGCCTGTTATCTATCTTTAATAATATTGCATGATGAAATGTCATTAGATTTATCTGTATGTATAGGAGTCGGTCAACTATGCAGTCCTCACGATGCCTGCGTCTGCAGAATCTTCTCCGTGCGTCAGATGAACATCTTTACATAGTCTGAGGGACAAGTTTATTAATCAGTCACGAGCCAGTCCGTCCCCAAACGTAATCTCGCGCTGCCTTGTGTGTGTCACGAGCTCACGTCTTCGCTTGTTGCCCCTTTAAAAATCAGTATTGAAGGCCAATGATTTATCAAAGCCCTATTATCAAGAAAATGTCATGCGAAGGGTACCTTGCCATGCACTGACGCAAACCCGATCTTTCCCACGGAGATATAGAAAGCTTTGCACTTGGCACAGCCAAACTCAGTCTGCCTGCCGTCTTTCCAGCTGTTTTCTGCTATTAACCCACATTTGTTGACTCTGCACAAATGGTAAGTACAGCACATTCATTACTTTACGCTTTGCGTGTTTTTACTGTGAACAGTTTACAAATTATTTAGAACAGTCTTGGGGGGAGAAAAGTATTATTTGTAAGTGCACTAATAAACGAAGTGTCGCTATCCACGGTGCTGAAACTTTATAGCAGGCGTTTTTATACCTTTTCAGAACAGTCTTGGGGGGAGAAAAGTATTATTTGTAAGTGCACTAATAAACGAAGTGTCGCTATCCACGGTGCTGAAACTTTATAGCAGGCGTTTTTATACCTTAACGGCAGTATTTAGTTATGTATATCGCGTTAAAAACAAATAATTACAAATTTATAACCTTCGTAGTAGTAGTATTCATATGACAGCCGATTTATTTTATTTTTAATTCTTTTTTTTTTCTATTCTTTTTTATTTCTCTTTTAGTATTTAGATAACTAGAATAACTTATTTTAAAAGAGTTTTAGGACAGTGATCTCCTATGGTGCGATGTAATTGCTGGTGTAATGTTTCATGTTTGCACCCGGGCTTGAACTGCACACTTACACCGGGACTGGTGCCTGCCGCAGGGGGGGAAAGCCTTGGCCGGCAGCTTGTCTATTGCCCATAAAACCGGGGGATGTGCCGGGGTTGAATGACAGGAGGTAAATGAGGCGTAAAATTAAATCTTTCTCTAATGGTAAAAGCAAGAAGCAAACAGCTACTGTCCGTGAGCTGAAAATCAAAGAAGTGGAGCAGACATGTCCAGAAACGGTCTAGCATAAAATACATTGCAGAAGTTATAGTATGATAGCGTGAACATTTTGCCTAGGGGTAGCTAGGTTTCTGTAAAAATGCTCGGTCACTAGGTGTGAAAAGCAGTTAATTGTTAGGCTGCGTTAATTATACTGGTCCTGACTAATGTGTATTTAACGTTGCAGGATTTTTCTGAGCACGGGGAAATGTTGAGACAACCGTCAAACGGTATTCCGCCCCAGCCGTCTGGGGGAGCGGTTGGAGCTACAACTACTAACACACCGGAGAATGGGAACCCGGTGCCCCAACCGCCGCCTGTAAACGAACGGAAAACTTTTTGTCCTTCGGAAAATAAACCGTGCGAAATGGAAGCCAATAAAGCATACGGGACGTTTAAAAACGCCGCACCTGGACCCACGTTTGCTCCCGTTAATTCTGCCGTGCGCAAGGATTCCGTCGGTAAAATGGATGGTTCGACCGGTAAAGCCACGTCGGACTTCATGTCTAACAATCAAAGTGCTGTAAGGATCGCGGCGGAGCATAACAACACCACCGGTGACTGGACCTCCATGAGCCAGACCACCATCATCCTGGGTACAGATGGCAATACATCTGTTCTGCCTGGCACGGTGACCGGGGTAAGTGCATGGTTAAGGAACGTTTCATTCCGGTTGAATCAGCCAATCACCCCTAAGCTAAAGCTTTCAAACGGGGAGAGTCTTGAGCAAAAACAAAACCTTGATATTTCAAGTGTCGTAGTAGCATTGTCAAACCAAAGGAACCCAGCTGCAGCTTTGTCCGTTACGATAGTTACAGTTTGAATTTTGTTCGCGAGACCTTTATTTAACCCACTTATGTTTGTAAAAAAAATAAAAAAAAAAGATTAAAAAAAATGATGATGATAATAAGGTTGGAGTTTCTAGAGGTTCGTCTCACTCAAGCGAAACACTCATTTGCCACCACAAGCACTATTATCCTTTAAAGAATATATAGCGTTTTATTGTGATATTTAAATTTACACTTAGCGATAAGTAGTGACGGTTATTTGGAGCGGCGTACTGTTGCTATGGTTACCTCCTAGCCAAAATCTATTCGCTGGCGTCTTTGGCGACAGGTAAAAATGCGCTGTGACTAACATTACTGAAACGTTTAAAACACATATGCACTTATATAAATATGTAGCCTAATTTAAGACCTTCGAACCTTTTGTTTGAATTTAATTTGCTCTTACTTAATTCGTTTTTACTGTGTAAAATATCGGTATAGGTTCGGTTATGTATTCTATGCAATGTGTTTCAGGAGTAAAAGACGGCTACTGTCATTTGTGATATATGGCTCTCATATTAGTCATAAAAGTGTTTTGGACAAAAGGACATTGTTCTGTAGTCTCTCAAACTAAATCTGTGATACTGATTCTTTCTGACACAATAATTACAGCAGTTTTCACGAACAGGTCGAGTAAGAGGATATGTCAAGGAACCTGAGTACATCAAATGCTGTAGGCTATGTATTAGGACAGTAACTGTTACTGCATTGCAAATGAAACAACCCCCCAGATCAAGAGTTACAACATTTGCTTTATGATTGGAAATGAAGATGCTGAGCTCTGCATGTATGCCTGTGAATTGTGAGGTTTATTGTCCTCAGAGATTGGTTTCTGATGACTGGTTGTGTTGCAGGATAATGTGTTACATAAGAATCTTCTTATGGTACAATTCCCTTTGGGGTGTTTCATTAGAGCCAAGGGCGACCCCTTTATTCCCAGGTCACGGAAACGAGACAAAATTTGTTTTTTTTTGAGCGGGGGCGGGGGGGACATTTGTGTATTTGAATAAAAAAAAAAAATGTTGATGCCTCTATAATAATAATGACCCATAATCTGATGATTGTCATGATCGTTAAAAATTGAATATCTATTAAAATGTATATAGCAGCCAGCATTCGTTCATAAATACTTAGTGGACTGTTCTTCCAGGATGATGATGATGATGATGGAGGAGATGAGAATAAGGCCCGGGGGAACTGGTCCAACAAACTGGATTTTATTCTGTCCATGGTGGGATATGCCGTGGGTTTGGGAAATGTGTGGAGATTCCCATATCTTGCTTTCCAGAATGGTGGAGGTGAGAAACAATCAAGGGGCATATTAAAAAAATATTAGGAAATATTTTTGTTCTGCTACAGATCGATTTTTATCGAAAATGAGTCGGAATGTCAATGCGTAGTAATACACGCATACAAACTTTCGTTAGAGGCAATTTTATTTTCTGTTACAAAATGTAAAAAAATCGTTTTATAATTGCACGGATTTTATTTTAATGTACAAATTATAAGGGCAACGAAAGATTATTACTAGGTATTATTTGTACACATTAATATATGCGTTATTGTATTATGTTTAATATTTATTGTGTTTATTATCCATTAGCCTATCTTATTATAATATTATAAAATAATATCATTCGTTCTATTGTTATATATTATGTTTATTTTAATTAAAAATATAAGAAAAGCTAAAATTCAAAGTTTAATATGTTTATTGTTCCCTTTTTTAAAGACGCACTACTCCTGAGTCGTGACTTTTTCAATAGCAGCTGTTCTCTGTTTTTGTATAGGCGCGTTTTTGATACCTTACCTAATCATGTTAGGCCTCGCCGGTATACCTATATTTTTGTTGGAGGTGTCTTTGGGTCAGTTCGCCAGCCAAGGCCCGGTGTCAGTATGGAAAGCGATCCCAGCTCTACAAGGTAACCTGACGTTACTTTATTAATTGATGCTCCGTTATGAGCAATGTTTGTTTGTGCTAATGTGTCATATGAGTGTTTCCAGTGAACTGGTAATCGACTTTCCGACTGCTTTAAGTGTAATTTCTATTATCTGGTTTCATTTTGTTATTTATAGGTTGCGGGATTGCCATGTTGATAATATCTGTCTTGATAGCCATATACTATAATATTATTATGTGAGTCCACCCCCCAACACCCCCTTTTTTTCTTCTAACTAAAATGCGCAATGCGCAACCTGTATTTCAGGAATTAAGTACCCTACCACTCAATTTAGGTTTTTCAGTGTCATCCTGCTCTTTTTATACCCCAAATGCAACTGTTTTTCTCCATTGCGCTAAAAGTTCTTTTTTGATGACTTGACAGATTTTTGTCAGCTACAGAAACTGTAAAATCAAGTGCTTTTTCATTTTAGTGCCATCATGAATTAAGAATAGATTTTGTGTTTTTATTTTATTTAGAATTATTGTGTCACATTGAAAGGTGCGATTAGTGAAATAAATGCTGTTTGCTATACTTTCAGAATGAGTTATCTTAAAATCTAATTTGAATAAAATTTCTGGTGTTTTATTATGCGTTTGATTTAATTTGCTGACATTTTTACGTTTTAATTCGTTTTAAAACGCTTTTCTCAATGTCGTGCTTTTTGGTGAATTCAGCAGAAAATCTGCTTGCTTGACAAATTTACTGTAAGAGTTGGTGCAGTGCCGCAGTGAGATGCACTGCCACCTCGTGGCTTGTTTGAGTAGCGCCACTAAATTTGCACACGAATCAAAGACGTTGTGTACAGTATTACAGTTGTGTGTGTGTGTTTGTGTGTGTGTGTGTGTGTGAACTGTGTAGGCCTGTTTGTACGACGCTTGATTTATTTCGTTGACTTAATTTGTTTTAAGACTGTTTTTCAATTAGGTAGTGAATGACGATGGAATTTTTTCCACGTTCATTCCAAGTTCTGTCATTGTTTCTTCTGGCCAGACTCCTGTATACTAAGGGACAGAGACATCACATCAATCAAGAACACCACATTCTGTTTATCTGCAAATGCTGTCGGGAATTTAAGTAAACTGTTAAATGTCACAATGGACAATAAAACCTATGTCAGCCCTAGTGAGGAGTATTTCAAGTAAGTGTGCTTTTCTATCTATCCGTCTGTCTGTGTATTTAAAGATGCTCTGTGTGTAATTTTTCAGCTTAATTGGATACTAATCACTCCGCTTTCTTGACAGGTATAATGTGTTGCATATTTCCAAGGGTATTGAATACCCAGGTGACATCCGTTGGCCCTTGGCTGCTTGTCTTTTTCTGGCCTGGCTTATTGTTTATGCCTCTTTGGCAAAAGGGATCAAGTCCTCAGGGAAGGTAAGAAAACAGGTTGACTATTTTCTCTCCTTATTTCTCCTCTATGTACTATTAAGAGAGAAGCCTACAGCAGGCCTCATTCGGGTCCAGTGAAAAGATGACTTCCTTCATTCAGATGACTTCCTTATTTCAGTCTTCAGTGTCACAGGACCCTTCAGAAATCATTCTAATTGATGATTAGTGCTGATTTGTGCTCAAGACATATTTATTATTGTTATATATTGTATATGTTAAAAACAGTTGTGCTGCTTATTGTTTTTGTAAAAGTCATTATATATTTTTAAGAATCCTTTGATTAATAGAAAATTCAAAAGAACAACATTTATTTGCAATAGAGATCTTAAAAAAAAATTATAATTGTTTTTCTGTCACTTTTAATCAGTTTAATGCTTCTTTGCTGAATACAAGTATTGTGCATAAACATATTATGTTATTGAAGTTTCAATTGCCGTTCGGATGTTGTATTGGTGAATGTGGGTGTCAAGACAAGTAATTATGCTTCTAAAGTCAGGTTTGGTCATTTATTATATTAATTAGCAGAGTTTCTTTCTTGGAAAGTTTCCCTCAGGCAGAACAGGTTAAAAGTAAGCCTTTGTGACATTATTATCATTTGGCAGGAACATTAGACAAAACTGTAAGTATTGGCAGCTAAATTGGAATATTCTCAGTATCACAGAGAAATGTGTAGCATAATTAGTAAATGTGTGCTTACTAATTTGGCGTAAGATATTTGATAGGTTAATAATGATTTCTAAGCTTGTAAGAAAAACAAAAGATTGTCAAAATATTGTATATGGGTTTTACTTTCTGAATTTTGGTCAGTAAAAGTCTTTTTATATTTCACAAACACATTGTTTGTACCTACATAGTTGTGATGTACATGCACCTTGTTTTCAGGTGGTGTATTTCACTGCCACGTTCCCCTATGTGGTGTTGGTCATCCTGTTGATCCGAGGGGTCACTCTGCCCGGAGCCGGTTCTGGGATCCTTTACTTCATAACACCCAAATGGGAAAAACTCAATGATGCCAAGGTAATAAAAAGAATGGTGCTATTTATATTTGATGGTAAAATGTTACATGTTCTTCTCCAGAATGCTTATTATTTCTCTTCCTCAATTGGTCGTTCTTTCTTTCTTTTACTCTTTTTCACTTTAGGTTTGGAAGGATGCTGCTACACAGATTTTCTTCTCTCTGTCTGCAGCATGGGGTGGTCTTATAACCCTCTCGTCCTACAATAAGTTCCATAACAACTGTTACAGGTAGCCAGCTACACTACTGTTTAAATGTTAGGGCCAGTAAGATTTATTAATTAATTATTTATTTGAAAGCAATTAATTGTTTTTTTTCCAGGATACATTGGTCAAAAGTGACAGTAAAGACATTTATAATGTCACAAAAGATTACACATTGTACACATTCAATAGATACATCTGCTCAAAGTATGCATTATGGTTGATTATTAATGGTGTAAGATTACACAATGCGCTCTGTCTCTTTGTTTTTCAGGGATACTCTCATTGTGACGTGTACTAACAGTGCCACAAGTGTATTTGCTGGTTTTGTCATTTTTTCAGTTATTGGCTTCATGGCTCATGAGCTCAAAGTCCCAATTGAGAGTGTGGCAGATGAAGGTAGGTAGTATGAATGCATGTGTTTGTGGCTGGTGAGCTATGATTAACTATGATCAGATGTCTGGTTGCTGTTTTTTTTCTTTTTTTTCCTAAATATACAAAACTGTTTTCACTTTCATCACACCTAAAAGTCATTTGATCAGTCTGGTCTGTACATATGCTCTTTTTGTTTAGGTCCAGGAATTGCTTTTGTGGTCTATCCAGAGGCTCTGACTAGGTTGCCCTTGTCACCATTCTGGGCCATCATCTTCTTCCTCATGCTGCTTACACTTGGTCTGGATACTATGGTAATGGAAATCATAAATTGTATGATTTACAGTTTTTTTTTTTTCAGTTGTAATGTGATCACAGTAAAAAAAAATACAATAAATAACTAAATTGCTTTTCATTCACACTTTCGTTCTTTCATTTCATTTTTTTTTCTCTCCAGTTTGCCACCATAGAAACTATAGTGACGTCTGTTTCTGATGAGTTCCCCAAGTACCTGCGCAAACACAAGCCTCTGTTCACTTTGGTTTGCTGTTTGTCCTTTTTTGTGCTGGGTTTCCCCATGATCACTGAGGTAGGACATTTACTCTTATTCCCATCTGCAAGAACTTTACCTTTATAGCACACTTTAATTAAAGCAGCTCTCTGGTAAACAATAATAAAAAAAAACAAGTAAATAGGAAAGTAAATAGACTGGAATGAAATATCCTAAAGCAGATAATTGGAAAGGTCTAGAATTAATGTTAGTTTGTTTGTTTTTTAATTAAAGTGATTCACTGGGTGATTTTTAGATTAGGTCTCATTTATTTTTATTTTAACTGTGCATATGTGTTTGTGTTTTCACGCACAGAATGGAATGTACATGCTTCAGCTGGTGGACACTTTTGCAGCCTCTTATTCTCTGGTCATCATTGCTATATTCGAACTGATTGGAATCTCGTACATTTATGGTGAGTTTACAAAATTTGTCTTTAGACTTACTCCAGTCATTTATTTTAGTGCACAGCAGGAATCAGACTTTTAGGTAATGAAAAAGAAAATTACAAATAATTAAGCAAACAAGCAGGCAGCAAAGAATAGGTTCAAGCTAAAATGCAGGCTAAGCCTGTTAAGCCTTTTTAAGTTATAGGTTTTGATTAGTTTAGTAACATTAATTTATAAGATATATAGCTGATAAATAGTAAAAGCTGTGAAAGTGGACTAGCGAGTCGATGAGTTTACTTGTTCAGCCTGATGATGTTTAATGTCCCTGACAAAATCTATTTTCATTTAGCCACAAATGTGAAAATATCTTTGTTTGTGTGAACCATAGACCTTAATTCATGCATTTAACCAAAAACTATTCACAAAACCCATTCACGTAGGGAGGATGGAACCAGAAGTGCTAAAATCTTAATGCCTGTTGACTTTCTTCCTTCCTGTATTTGTGGTGCAGGACTACAGCGGTTCTGTGAGGACATTGAGATGATGATTGGGTTCCAGCCAAACAAGTTTTGGAGAATCTGCTGGGCCTTTGTCACACCAACTATTCTCACAGTATGTTCACCTTATACCTTATATGACCATTCTTGACACACATCCAATGTCGTCGCATGCACAAATCCATCCATACTATTACTTTTGCTTAGTGCTGCCACTGACCCTTCTTCTCTCTCTCTCTGTCTCTCTCTCTCTCTCTAGTTTATCTTAGCACTTAGTCTGTACCAGTGGAAGGTGATGACATATGAGGATTACACTTATCCGACCTGGTCTATGGTTCTCGGCTGGCTTATGGTCATCTGTTCTGTCATATGGATTCCCATCATGTTTGTTATTAAGATGCACATTGCACCTGGATCGTTAATTGAGGTAAGGGAGAGATGTTTGGGTTGTTTTCTGTTTGAGTGTTATTAAAAATTGCTCAGTATTGCCTTTCAATAAGTAGATGGCTAGTTTTTTTTTACATTTTAGGAAAAGTGTTTATTCCAGGTCCTTTCCTCTTTTTTCGCCCAAAGTTTTTCCCCATTTTAATCACCTTATGCTATTATTTGTTCATTGTATTTAGTCCTGTGGTGTGAGAGCCAGTGTTATTTTAATTTCATTGCGATACTATTATAGTTTTATTAATATTTTGAATTCGTTTTTACTTTTAAATGTTTCGTTTTCATTTTCATTAAAATTTAGAAATTGTACAGTTTTTGTCCATTTTATTAGTTTAGTTTTTTTTAATGTGTCTAAATAGTTTATTCATTTTTATTTCAGTTTAACTGCATGAAAATAAGAAATGTTGCCTTGGCAACTAGCTGAAATTAGTTTTTTTTAGAAACTTAGACAGAAATTTTTAGAAATTGTATTTTATTTCAGTTAATATTCATTTCAAGTAATGAAAAAAATCTTTTTATGGTTTTATTTTTATTTTTACTATAATAACCCTGGTAAGAACTAATTTTTGCATGCATAATTATAAAGAATTATCGAAATCTTATGGATATAAAACAACATGTTTTATACACATGAACAATGTTTACAACAAAATAATGAATCAAAGTGAATCTTTTTCAGTAATTCTGTTAAATTCCATTTTTGAAAAAGGTCAAACAAATTAATCAGTATCTAGGATGCAAACCAAGCATCCAGCATGCAATTTAGATGCCCCTTCTCGTTCTCTGCAGCGTCTGAAGTTGGTGTGCTCTCCTCAACCCGACTGGGGTCCATTCCTGATGAAACACCGCGGGGAACGCTACAAGAACATGATCGACCCTCTGGGTACCAACTCCCTTGGCCTCAAACTTCCCCCCAAAGATTTCCAGCTATCAGCCCAATATCAATAATCCTCCTCAATTCCCTGTGAGTGTGAGATTCCCCGAGGCCTCTGAGAGTGAGACCTGCCCTCACGTCAAACTCTTTCCCTATTCAACCTCCCCTCTTTTCCATAGCGTTCTCTTTCAGCCATATTCCCCCTCTTCTGACACTTTTAGAGGGGTTTTTCAGGTGGAAAGCACAGACAACTCCCTATGATTTTTTGTTTTCTGAATAATTATTCGTAGTCAGTCTGAGAGTAGGTCTTTCGTGCACATTCTAATACACTGATCCCAGCTGAACCTTTTTCTCAGAGGCAATATGCAGTTGCAACTGTTGAGGCAATATTTGACTGATTGTGCATCATGCAGTGTTTTTTTTTTTTTTCATTGCGAAGTGACTGCTGATGTTAAAAAGAAAATAATGAAGAGAATAACATTTATATGTATTGTCTATTTGCTTGTCATCTCTTAAATGTAGCAAACATAATGAGATAAACTGCTGAGTAGTGCACAGTGAACTCGAACTCTTTTCTGGTATCGTACTATCGCTCTCCACTTGTGTCCACTTATAGCCATACCTTGTGCCTCAGACTTCCTCTGTTTATAAAATACTGCATAGTATAGTGCTAATTAAACCAATTGTACTACATTATGGAGGGAAGTGAGCACATTTCAGTCTCTGTGAATTATAAGCTATCCTACTCTTTTACTAACCTGTCAGAAATATCTCTACAATGTTATAGAAGCCAAACTCATAGTGTAGGCTCCAGTAATATAGATCCATCCCTGTCTTCAAGAAAACTTAGCCATGCAAAACTGTAATAATACCATTCAATTTTGTTTAGAGTAGTACTCAACAGCCAACTAGCAGTTATGTATGTATACTAATATTATAGAGTATGCTTTGGAGTTTGTGTCGTGATCTGTTCATAGACTTATAGACTCCTCCTATCCTTATGCAGTACGCGGTTATAGTGGAGCGCACAAACGAAAAGTAGAGGAAAATCAAGGAGTGTGGTATGTGTGGCAAACTAATCGTCTCATAAAAAGTGTATATGTGACCCTGGACCACAAAACCAGTCAAAAGGGTCAATTTCTCGAAATTGAGATTTATACATCATCTGAAAGCTGAATAAATAAGCTTTCCATTGATGTATAGTTTGTTAAGATAGGGATACAACTATTTGAACATCTGGAATCTGAGGGTGCAAAAAAATCAAAATACTGAGAAAATCGCCTTTAAAGTTGTCCAAATTAAGTTCTTAGCAATGCATATTACTAATCAAAAAATTAAAAATTATATTATTTTAATATATTTACAGTAGGAAATTTACAAAATATCTTCATGGAACATGATCTTTACTTAATATCCTAATGATTATTGGCATAAAAGAAAAATCGATAATTTTGACCCATACAATGTTTTTTTGGCTATTGCTACAAATATACCCCAGCGACTTAAGACTGGTTTTGTGCTCCAGGGTCACATATTTTAGAAACTTCAACTAGCTTACATAATATTTTTAACAATTGCATGCAGAGGATATGCAGATTAGAAAAAAAAAATTTTCATCTGAAATCCTGTGCTTGGGGACCACACTCCTTTTTTATTTATTTATTTTTTATATATTTTTTCTCTCTGTCTGTTCGCCATGAAACAGGGTCTCAGGTATTACTCCATTCCATCAACCTTATTAAATGTTGGATTAGAATTGAACATATTTATGGAAACTTGATAGGATTCACATATAACTAGGGCTTCACAATGAGTCATATTTTAATCGTGATCATGATGTCTGCTTCTCTCGATTTATTAATCATAATCGCCTGTGATATTTGCCCGCTTTCTATTTAATTTAGCATTTGCATTATCTTGCACTATAGTAACAAGCTTCCGTTCATGGTTGTTGTTGCCAGATATCAAGAGTTTAAATACCCCAATCAGAGTATTTTTTTTCATAAATCGATACATGGTTCACTTAATCTTCCTAACCATGTACACACTTTCTCTAGATTACAAAAAAAGCACTGATGAGCTGAAAACACTGACAGACATGTAGGTTGGAGTTTAGAGATATTCTATTGAGATGTTCTGCGCAAATAAAAGTGAAATACAACCAGTCTGCTTTCTTTAAAGCGGCCGTTTGTGCTGTTTGCTGCAATTAAATCTGCGAGCAAACCATGTGAGTTGACTTTCTCCTATTTTGTGTTTATGTGAAAGTGCAATATTTCTGATGAAATTAAAAATATATATATTTTAAGCAAAGAAGTTAACTTTTTAACCGTGATGAACCATTTAACCATTATCGTGCAGCCCTACATATAACCGATTCTCTATATGATTTGTGAAAGTGGACATTTTCAGAATATTATGCCATATAATGACAATTTGAATCCTTATATATCATTTCCAGCTACTGGACTGTAAATATGGTTACAGATAAAATGCTTTCGTAGTATTGCTTTAGGCAACAGTTTTATATATATATATATATATATAGGTTAGTTGTTGTGCTCATCAGTCACAGCACTACAAAATTTAAACATCACTTTGATTAAACGTCACATAAAAATAAGTGATTATTCTCCTCCACCACAGTGAAAAAAAAAGTACTACTTTTATTTTTAGTTCAGAATGTATACCTAAACGATTAGTACTGTGGATATTATTTAGTTAGTAAAAAGAGCCACACTGCCCATGCAATGCAAGTAATAACACTGAGACTTTGCCTGGGCACGATGGGTTTCAAAAGCCATGTAATATGCAGATAATACACTAATCACCTTGAATATAAAGCATTTATAAAACAGAAAAAGAAAAAAGGTATTCCTCAGTATATTAGTGTCACAAAAGAGATGCTTTTTTCTGATACATGTTTAATCTTACTCTCTGTGTAGTATATGTGTGTGTGAATGTGTGGATATAATATGCAGTGCTTAATGTTTAGATTTATACTTATCCAACCATCCAGACGTGGCCAAATGCAGCCTGGCAGTCAGTTTGAGGTTTTCCTATTCATTGCATTGGTTTATCTGCAAGAGCTGATTTTACTCGAATAGAAGCTCTGGGTTATGTAGCACAACAAACAGTATCCAAAGCACACGAATAGTAGACGGCTGCTGCGATCGTTGTAATATTCAAGGTTTTGGATGGAGTTTCTGTTGGTCCTTGTGTTGCTGTACGTCTGTCCGAGAGCTATTGTTACAAGCCCTTTCACATAACAAATATTCTGTGGGAAAAAAGAAAATAGGTAACAGTCTTGCATGTGCTGTTTGTGTTGCTGTGGATTATTTGTCCATGTATGCTTCCCCTTTATGCTCCTTTTCTCGAATGTGTCCCTCGCTTAGCAGCTGCAGCTGAGTTTACCACCTCTTCCTACCTACAGGGCGACACTGGGCAGTAGGCAACCAAAGAAGGAGAACTTCTCAAAGGGTTCTGAAAAAAAAAAGCTTAAAAAAGAACATATGTTCTAAAAGAAAAACATATATATGTATATATATACAAATAGCCTATATGAAGAAATGATATATATTATTCTGTGTATTTAGGAGACTGAGATACTGCCACTCATCCTTCATTTAGTGGTCATTATTGATGTGTGTCAATATGTTATATGACATCTTCAGGTAACCTTTGGCCTTATAGATGTCCTCTGGTAATAAACTATTATGTGTATTTCAGAATAATGATACAGAGTAGCTTCCAATCAGTCATTATGTAGTCAGTCTATATTGTATGTATGTCGTGTCATTTGGCACTTTACTGTGGACCTATCGGAGCATAGGTAAAATTTCTTATTACTTGGGTAATGTCATATATTTCTGTGTTTTACATGAGGGAAATCTGCCTATGGATACAGATATGGACCTCCAACAGATCATGGCATCATTTGAGTTGAATTGTAGAGTATAAATATGAAAAATATCTAGATTTTGAATCCTCTGCCAGAAAAAAAAAAAAAAAAAAAAGCAAAATGTATAAAAAGA